ATAGCAATGGTTAAGTGTGATTTCAAAGAAAAGTTGGGGAAACCACAATTTCAAAGGTTGTATGTTTGTTTAGGAGCTGCTAAGGAAGGGTTCAAAGTTGGATGCAGGCCCATTATAGGTTTAGATGGGTGCTTTTTGAAGAGTGTTTATGCAAGGCAATTGTTAACTACAGTGGGTATAGACGGCAACAATGAAACCTGAGTGATTGCATACGCAGTTGTGGAATCAAAGTGCAAGGAATCTTGGATTTGGTTTCTGGAGCTATTGGTTAAGGATTGTGAGATTGTTAATCAATTTGGCTTCACCTTTATATCCAACAAACAAAAAGGTTTATTGCTTGCTTTTCAGCAAGTGGTCCCTAATTGTGACCATAGGTTCTGTGCAAGACATCTTTTTAGCAATTATAGGATATTGTTCAAAGCAAAAAGCTTGAGAGACAAGTTTTGGGAAGCATCATATGCAACCACTATCCCCCACTTTACAAGGGCCATGGAAGAACTTAAAAAACTATCCAAGGATGCATATGAATGGCTCACCACTCTAGATAAACCTCCAAGGCATTGGTCAAAATCACACTTCAGCACTCATTTGAAGTGTGACATGGTGTTGAATAATCTGTGTGAGTCCTTCAATGGTACCATCTTGGAATGTAGGGATAGACCTATTCTTACAATGTTGGAGTATATTAGATGTAAGCTGATGAAGAGAATACAGGGAAGAAGGGATAAAATGGAAAAATGGAACAACCCTATCTGCCCAAGAATTGTTAAAAAGGTGGAGGCAAATAAAGCCAAGGCAGGTGCTTGTGTGGCAATGTGGTCAGGTGGAGGTAAATTCCAAGTGTCAGCTGGTGGCCATGCACAATATATTGTGGACTTGGAATTAAGGAGTTGTTCTTGTAGAGCATGGGATTTGCAGGGATGGCCTTGTGTTCATGCTATTTCAGCCATAAATTATAAAGGGGGTCTTAATGTCATGGATTTTGTGGATGACTGCTATTTGACAACAACTTGAAATTGGCACTTAGGTGACGAGGGGTAAATTAAATGACACTCAAACAAAAACAAGACAAACTTCACACACTTTAGACCTTGACCAATACTCTTATGACTAGTCAACTGTCAGACATGAATAATCACAACCAAGAACATACACAGAGCATATCAATATGTACCTGCAAGCCTAGAGAATTACTAGTGACAACCTAGGCACTCAGAAGGACCCGTCAATCTAGGCATCCCCTGTGCTAGCAACAACTATGGTGAAAGTGTGTGAAAGCATCATAATCAAGTAAGCATCAGACAGCAGAAAAAGATGACTAGTCAACTGTAAGAACACGAACCCAGAAATACATGTGATGACTAGTCAACTGTCAAGAACACAAACCCAGAAAATTCAGATATGCAAACCAGAAATTTGTTCACCCAGAAACCCACCATTGGGAAAAACTGGGGGTCATCAACCGACCAGGCAATCCACTAAGTAGAAAAAGATTCTTACAAAGGAACACAAGCAAGCTCAAGAAAAACCTAGATCTATTTAGGAAGATGAGCTATACCTCCTTTGTGCAATCTTCTTCTCCAACTTAGCAAAGCTTCAAGCTCAGTTCTTCATGGCAATGGCAGCTCCTTCTCCAGCTCTTTCATCCCATGGCACTAGCTTGCAAGCTCTAACTCAGACTGAAACCAAAATTTGGATTCAAAGGAGAATGACCAATTTCTTCAAGAAACCATACTCTTGAAGAAATCAGTCTTGAATCTGACTTAGATATAAATGAGAGAGTGTTTTAATTACCTAGATACAGATTTTCATTTTTCAAATGCAGTTTTCAAAAAGAAACAATTTGGAAAACTCAAAGATGAAAAATATGAAGGTGGCTCTTGAGGAAGAAGCGATAGTTTCCAAGGAAACTTTCCAAAACTTGCCTACCAAAGTCACAGCTACCAAAAGAGGAATGCAGAGGTTTTTACACAAAATTCCTTAGGTCAGAACCGACACATGGTAGCAGAGAGGGAATGGAGAATAGGACAAAAAAGCTGGTAATCCTACAAAACAAGGATGACTAGTCATACGAGAAACAGATGACTAGTCATCATTTTATGAAATCAATTTAATGTTATGTGATGCAATGCACAATTTACCTTTGTCAATTTGCTTGAACCTCCATAGGATAGTTGTTAGTTAAGAACACCTAGAGAAGATATTCTTAATCTAAACTTGAGTTTGATAAAAACAATAGAAATCCTATTACAAAATTGTCAAGGGAAGTGTTGCGTAGATACAGCTGCACCAAAATGGATTCAGTTGCATCCTCAACTTGTGATACTCGCAAGTGCACGAGCCGTTCGGTAGTATAGCGTATGTAAGTGCGAGGTCGATCCCACGAGGATTGGTGATTGAATGATCCCATTCATTTCTCCTACACAAAATAGAAATGAAAAAAAAGAAATAAATAAAACAAGAAAAAGGAAATACCTCAAGCAAATAAGTTCCCAAGTTCAATTAGATTAACGGATTGATTCTAGCTAAAGTATGATTAAGCCATGGTGTGTGGTCATAACCTTGTGTTCCTAATTCCCTAATTTGATCATTTGTTGTCTAACCTAAAATTAAGCATTAGGAACCCATTAAGCATAGAAGAACAATTTAAACAAC